AAACAGTACCGTAGATTTTCGAACCCACTTCTTCCTTTTGATATTCCGGGTCGTCAAAGCTCCGTATAAAAAACCTCAGCTATCAAGTTGCTGGATCTCAACATGCATCTGAGAGCTTGTCCGTTGATCTTGTTCCCCTGGATTTACAGGCAGTGACACGTCTACTCCCACCGAAGCTGCTTTTATTAGACGCCAACCAATCGTACAATCGTAAGCAGTCTGTGTAACATTCAGGGCGCTTAGTCCATTAGGTACCTCAATTCACGGGGTTGAAGTGGTGACATTTGACCAGGAGGGCTGTCGCGGTAGATTATGTCCCGAATGAGCACGCTGAATATACTGAATGTGCGTCCACATAACGCTCCGAAAGTCTCCACAGCTCCCCGAATAACGTGTGAATGCGGTCCGAAGCATAAGCATGTTTCGTTCTTCTGTCCCATACTGTGCAAACTACATACTTGGCCTTCAAACTTGGATGTTTTGCCGTCACTGAACGCTGTTTTCTCCCCTTAAATGAGCCTTTTAATCAGATGAGGACTTTCTTCACTTTCGTGCATTTCTAGTAGGAGGACTTCCATCATCAAGTGTGAGCTGGGGGTTGTTTTGATTACTGGTCTTAACATTTTCCGTCTGACAATGTCCCAAAGAGTATACAGTAAAGATCTCACCTGGATTACGATCGACTCGGAGTCCGTGATCAGAACACTAATCGGACAACTTTCGCAGCAATACCTCAAGTACCTGTACCAACACCTCTGCAGGTTTAAGCGATTCCTCCCCTCAGCGAAGATAAGAATGAGAATAATACCACTCAGTCGACACAACTCCATAAGTGTTTTGTTCATATCTGGAGCATAGCTCACCAGTGATCACTATTCAAAGACCGGAACACTGTAGTAATGGCTATGATGCATCGCACATTCCCAGCAAAGTTTAGTGGTGAATGAAAGCGATCTAGTGGGCGTTGCGTGCCTCAGTTTTTGCGTACTGAATGGAAAACAGTAATATATTCTGTAAGCAAAACTTCCTTGGGTGATATTCCGGAAATCTAAGTCCTAAGTTGAATAAGAGCAGAAAAACAAGGCAGTTGAAAGCTTATTATAGAAGACTCGAAAGCGAACATATGTTTCAAGAGTCCGTATTTGTACGCCTTCGAGTTACTTTGTTGGGTATCTCACCTCGCATACGAGCAGGGTAATGGGAAGTTGTGCGGCCTATGGTCACTCAGGATGGAGGTTTGGTCGCGAATGTACAGTTCGCTGACGAGTACCTTATTACCAAGTCGGTTTCCGGCTACTGAGAATAATGCTGAATAATGCTCTAACTTGTTTCCACTTGAGATGAACAATCTCTCTCGAAACACTTCTTCTGAAAGCCTATTCATCAAACTTTTAAAAAAGGCTAGTTCACTGATATGATATGATATAGGATGCCTGTACTGACATAACCGTCCTTTGCTATCTTTGCTATCTTCTCCAGTGCAGCGAATTTCTGAAACGTGCGTTTTCCCCACTGGCCGCACATCACCGACGATTGTGTTGAGATAAAGTGCCTCCCCATTGACACCGTAATCAAGCTACTCCTGAAACACTGGTGAACAAGGTTGCCCAGTGCCAGACATAACCGGCTCACCTTGGGTGCTTCCCTCGTTTCCGGTATCATTAACCTCACCTACGGCTATGACTGCATCAACATTGTTCTTCCAAACTCACACGTAAACCAGTGCTGACCCCTCGTCCAACCACTACAGTGGATGAGAACTTCGAGGCATGCAGTAGCCATGAGACCCAGATGACACTGACCACTGCTAGACCGAATTTCGACAAGCCTTGCCACAGTGGGCCAGCTGCAGTTAGTTGACCTCGTGGGAACGAGGGTACAACACGCGGAGTACATCGATAGCGTTTGGCCTGTGGTTGTCTATCAACTTTCGGGTTCTCCAAAGGCATGTGGTGCGACCGCGTTCACTGGTGAGTGGTCACTCTACTAACAAAAACAACTAAACGCGAGTTCAACTTGAGACTATTAGGTTTTCGGGCTCACGTTCGAAGGGGCTGTTATCACAATAAAGTCTTCTCATTTAGGGTTCTATGTGAAACCCAGCTATCCCTAGATGCACTCTGAATGTGTGAACTAAACCGGCGTATATTTGAATTTGCAGAATATTCCAACTACATATACAAGCTCCATTGCTGACTAGGGATGACTATGTTACACGCATCATCCAGATGAACGCCAAGGGTGTAAGAATGGAGTTAGTTAATAGACTTCTCATCCGGAATTGAAAAATTATCCTTAGCGTGCATAGCTTGGGGCAAAATAGTACCTGGTATAAAATGCATAAAAGTGGGGATAATGTGAAAACATGACTTGAATTATCTTAAGCCGTGCATCCCGGACTCTAAATTACCACATTGTACGAGCTGCAGAATCTCCGTATAACTTCTCGGAGAATGAAACGATCACCGAAAATGACTTACTTTATGCCGATCACGATTTAAGAACAGCCACATGACTAAGCGCACACAAAACGACAGAGAACGACGAGATCGCGCAAGCGAGGCTAAAATCAATAATTGTCATTTTAAAAGACGGCTGACTCCCCGAATGGACAGAAGTAAACAGCGTCCCTGACATCCTGTTCAATTTCACATAGCTATGCGAAAACTCTACCTTTGTTGCGGTCGTTTACATCAGTAGTGACCGACCGGAATAATATATTGGATTTCATCCTTGAAGATGCCACAGGTGGTTGCCTCGGTGATACTTCGTATTCCTCAGTTGATACTCATCTGTAGAACACAGTAAGAACTTATTCTTCCACTCATTGCTGTTATACTTCACACTGAGAGACGGAAAGTGCCCTCCTGGCACTGCCAACGAGGACAAGTTAAAATTGAACACCTTTTCACTTTCGTTCATTGAGGAAGTTAGGTGCAGAACTAATCAGGAAACTGGACTATATAGAAGTTGCGGATGACTTGTGATACTTGGTTTTTAGGATGATATTTTCAACAGACTGTAGCCAGTCCTGTGAAACAATCTGCCGTGCGTTTCCTCCTGACCGGCCATTATCGGGTGAATGTGGTCGGTTCACATTGAGATTTAGTCAATGTATTTTTTGAAGGTCTGAAGCACAATCGTGAGTCTGGCAACTGAAATTTTCAACCTCTATACAGCTCAAATGCGTGTTAACACGATATCATTGTGAGTTGCAATGCAGCATATGCAGCTGCATCACTATCTGCACTTCTTAGACCGAAGTTCGGGTAGATTCAAATTCAGATCTGACAGAAGAGATCTTGTACATTAGAAATTTTAAAGGATTTGATTCGTCCGATTCACGGATATTGAGCGAGTGGGGGTGCGATTTTGTTTTTCTCTGTTCTCAATGACGTAAAATTTCTACACTACTCAAAAAATGGTGGGAGAGGTGAGAAATTCAGCTGGATTCAGTTGAGTCTCCCGTTAAAGTCAAATTCATGTGCAAAAGAGTGTACTTGTCGAAGATCACGCAATTTGGGTCCAACCAGAACATAAGGTTGACGGAAACGCGGAGACTGCTTCCACCCGATGGGCCCCGACAAGGACGAAGCAGGTCGTGGGCTTCTGAAGAGTCCTCAGCAAATTCTTGACTAGTGTGTTACATATATCCAGTTATCTATTATAGTGTAGTTTCAACAGGCCAGTCTTTTGCAGCATAACATTATTTCAGCTAGTCTGCCTGTGTGTATATCAGCTTGGCGAGTATGACTCATCCAAACAACATGTTAGTCGACATCCTGCCATTCCCCGATACTTTTCTGCACCTCTTGCAGGCCTTGCTGGACAAGTTCAAGAGAACACCACATAAACAAGAGACCGTTCTGAGTTGCGATGTCGTTAGATGGGTCGAATTAATGCAGCATCGCTTGGTTGGTTTGATGATCTGTGAGGCCAAGAATCTTCGGTGTGTGAATTTTCAAGCCTTTGACTGCAGTAGTTCGCATTGTGCTACTATACGAAATTCAGGTCAGATTTGACCGTATTAGTATGGTTTTCGCAAGTACGTTCCAAAGCTGACTGGTGGGGCATACGCATGCAAGGTCCTTTTAGTACTACCAATGCAAACTCGAGAAGGAATTGCGTTGGACATACAGTGGTTTTGGTGATAATTCCCTTCGTATACTTCTTTCGGTTGAAACTGATGACTTGATCATTATAACCTTAACTAAAGGTTGTTTAGTGTTGTACACTTATCCAGGAAGATGGTAGTTCTATTATCCCTGAAGTTTTCTGGAATTTTCTCAGTGAACAGAAAAATGACCATCTATACAACCTGAGTTACCTGAATCCGATCAGTGGAAGACAGGTCACATGTACGGGGAGAATAGCAGGTTTAGATTGCAGTTTTATCTGGCAATAATAATGAAGATAGATTAAGCCTGGCCTAAATGATGCAAAATTTGGCGTTCTACCTTGAACGTTTCTCACATAATAGAACGACCCCCCTTTCTGTCCACAGCAAGACAGAAATACCAGGGTTAAGCAGTAGCAAATCATCAGTATTCTGCATTCTCAACGTTAGTCAGAAACAAATGGATTAATACACAATCGCCATTAGAGATGCCATTGATCACGAAATTGTAATCATATAGCGTATTTAGTCGTGGTGATTCACATATTTACATTATATACTGTCCTGGGAAAAGTTAGGAAGTGCGTGTGAGATGGCACAATTAAGTGTTTTAAAAATCTGCCTTTCCTTATACTAACAATGAGACAGGAGACTGAACGATTTTATGACCTTTCATAACGCCCAATGACCACAAGCAGGCCTTTATTGTATCCAAAGAAGTTGGAAAAACAATCAGAAACAGTCGCTGAACTAACCGATAAAACTATTTAAGATGCGTAACAACATGATGCTGAAAGAAAGCTCCGTAGAATGGACACAAATCACAGGCAAAACGTGTTGGGTATAGTATACACGATTAACAATAAAAGTGACAATTCATACGGTCCGACGAAACAGTGGCGATGTTCTCTACAGCAAAGTATGTGGAAGACCAGCGCTGTTCTGGCTGCGGCAATCTTCTGATGTTGACGTTTACACTGAAGGTGACATTCGTCATCTCTTTGGGCACATTGAGAATCAGGTGATTTCCTATAATCTCGGTGGGGATCACATCTGGCTCCACGCAAACAGCCAGTCCGTGAGGATAGTGAACAGATGATGGTAAATACATGCTGAGAATTATCTTATTTTCTTGGGTACCTTTTGTCGGCTTTGTCAAAAACGCATATTCCAACGATCCATTTCGAACGTCGAACTTGAGGTGCCCAGAAGTGCCCAGAGTTCGTTGCGGATAGGGTCGACTGAAATAATTCAGCTGGGTAAGAAAACGGATTTGGATTAGGATTATCTGGCAAATATTTCGATCGTGTAAAGATGACTGTCAACTTAGAAAAGCCCCCCACTGACCTTGTGGCTGTTGGTAACAGGTCAGCGCCCGTGTAAAATTAACGACCTGAGTACTTTCAATAATGAACATTCTACACCTCTCCTGTGTCAATAAAAAAATCCAGCAAAATAAATATGTTGGAATAACTCATCCAGTGGGAAGCACTGAACGATGGTTGCGACAACGAGTTAAACTAGTGCTAACAGACACCGTAAGCCATATTTACATTACCTTGATATTTCTAGTGACCCTGTATATTGACTGAAAATTATTTGGTGAGAAAAAATCAAATTCAAGCTTGGGATGGTGGTGTACGCTTGTAAGTTTAACAATTTTTGTATGCTCTCTAACGAGTAAGGATGTATTTGAAGGGTATCCTTGTTGTCCGAAACACGGTCAAACCATCCAAGGAAAATGCAGACTTCAAAACTTAGAAATATATTGAGCCATAGCTTAACATACATTTAAAGGATTATAGCCCCTTCTGTCATTTTAAATTATTATTTAACAGCAAAACTCGAAGCGAATGGACTTTATTTGGGTTAAGTGTAATTCCATAACTAGGTCAGAATCCGAGTCAGCCTCTTCAAGATTTAAATTGCAAAAAGTTAACTCATTGTCGAAACTCCCAGGCATGACCCCCTGTCCTTGATATCCATACACGAGGACCAAGAAGGCCACAAATTCAACTTGGAAAACGCAGAAATTTTGGTATACGGACGCACGAGGCACGGAAGAGAATTTCTGGAAGCATGGTACTCGACGGCAAATTCGATCAACCGGTGCATCGAACTGGACCCAATTTACGCACCCCTACGTGCAAAAGACCAACAACTCAACCGGAAAACTCAAGGAAGACCGAATATTGGATTCACAAACAACGAAACAAGGAACTCCTTGGAGGCAAATCAATAATGGTCACAACCCAGGACTGGAAGGGACAAAGGTCAATCTAGCTTCGACCAGATTACGACGGAGGGGATGCCAAGCTCAAAGGTCACGTGGGCATCGGCGAATGGGGATACAGGACAACGGAGCAACCAATGAAATCACCCGACCGAACAACTAATCGCGACCAAATGTCATCCCCTGCTAGCAGCACGTATATTAACACACGCACAACACTACCCAACGCACAACCACCAACCCACCGCTACGCACTACTACGCTCCACAATAACGCACTGATGATGTCACCTCGATTGGTGATGAAACGTTTGCAATCAAATTGCCCAGCTCAGCGAACAAGCCAACGACCACGTTTGAATATCTTTGAAATCTACATGTTTGGTACATCGTCAATAAACGGCCACTACTGGCAACTCAGCCCGGTATCAGTTAGTTTCCCTCTGATGGCCATGCCCAAACCAGCGTGATACTGACCACTTCCGGTTTGAGTTGGCATATTTTCCTTCAGTTCGTCCGCAGTCCATGCATTCATGTCTTGTAAGATGAGAATGTCAGGCTTTTCATGCCTGTTTTCGGCTACACGAGAGACAAGGCAGTAATTGACCATTCTGTCACATTAAATTATCGTAGACAACGACCTACCCTGACACTCATATTTGCTACATAATAATGCATATATTCGTGTCTCATCGATTATCACCTCGCTTGTGGAGACCCCTTAGAATGTGTTCCTATCCATTATTTCACTTTATCCCATAAGCTTCCGACGGACCGCATTGCTAAGTAATGAGCTATACCTTTAGTCATGAATAAGCTAACCAAACCGTTGACGAAAGAGCTAGAAAAGAAGAGTTTAAAGGCTTTCATGATGTCAGCAACCTTATAATAAATCAGGTCATGCCCGGATAAAAAATAATCTTTGTCGATATTTATGATTGTAGAAAATCTTCACTTATGCGAAAGACTTGCAGCTGAGACCGGCTTACCTAAAAAAACCAAAGTTTGTCCAATCGGCTAGTTCTTGCGCAGTAACCAGGTAAAAGATAAAGATATTGTCGTTTTGAGAGTAATGAACGAAAAAATACATATTTTTAAGGTTTCATTATAATGGTCGTTCACTTTCCAGCATACTACACAGTGTATCAAAACTTGCGAATGTGTCAACAGGTCAGTAAGCATAAACTCGAGCTTAGGTTATCCAAGAATCACACATATCACGGTGGTGAGTTGTTTTTGCTTGGCTATGGAACGGATAGTCACCCACAAAAACGCACAACAAAGTAGGTAGCTAAACACCTAGGTCAAAGTATGCACACAAGAACATTCACGTTTCGCAAAGTACAGATTTCAATTAAGTGGTAAAAATGTGGTCACATAATTGTGATTTGATCAGTCAGCGTTTGGTTTTCCATCAGCACTTCGATCAAGGTATCTTGGAGGTAAGATTTCATGACCAACATGCAGATGACCTTTTAGCGACTGAAATTCTGGAACGCATCATCGTCCTTTAAGAATGGCGATCGAAGCCTATTTACAAAGATGAGAATAAGGAACAAACCTGGACCACTCATCAGTGTCATTCAATATGTTTTCGATGTTTTCTCCTCGTGATATGATTTTTGACTGTCGTGTACATCGGGTGACATTCGACAGACAACACACTTTCGTATCCCAAAGACCTGGTGTGGTTGCCAGGCGACTGGCGGACATACGCTTCGTTATTACGCTTGAGGTCGGAGTGTAGGTAAACATGAAGACCTCGGCCTATAGGTCCCTCCAGAGGAGCACGGAAACCTATGTGGTGCAGTTCTCGCGAGGGGCACAAAGGGTTACGGCAGTTTACATGTAGTTTCGGAACCGTGAGTATAGAAGCGGAAATTACACTAGTTCGTGTGGGCTGTCGTTGTTTCATATTGGGGGCACTCTCGATGTCTCTTCAAGCCGTTTGACTAACTCCAGTGCTTCTGGCGCACGGTTTAGCATGTTTTCATCAACTACATAATCTACAGTGCTACTGCAAGATGGAGTGGTATACACCCAAATATCACACCAGGCAGTTCACCGATCGATGTCTAGATCAATAAACTCTTATGATTGTAACATTTCTGGCAGCCTAGCAAAGTCGCAGATGCCGCTAGGTAGCTAAACTCTCTTGTTGATTCGCGAAAAAACAAATCAGCCGGCAACGGGCATGCTGATATCACGAGATCAGCAGGCCATGTCCGGACAAAGTGTATGAAACAACAGAACACAACGGAGAAGCTCAAGCACGAGCAAGACTAACTCGGAAAGATCATCACAGCCAGAGACAGGCCGGCGTACTAAACGGCAACTATCTATCACAGTAGGGCCAACGCGTTTCATTGCCATCAGAGCAACAGTTATTCGCATCTTCATTCTCTCTCGGGTACCATAGCTCTCACTCGAATCAGTTCACCTGCGCAGTTCACTCTAAACAGATCAAGTGTAATTGGCATACGTTAGAATGAATTTAACAGGAGACTCAAACGAATCCCCGGGGGATCCTCGTTTACCGTGTCCTTCAACTGAACGTGCTGAACATAGGCCGCCACATGTTTCTATGGGGACGACATTCGAGACAATCTATTGTGGTATCTCGAATACTGTCCCAAATGAAACATGAGAGGGCCTCCATCCAGCAGATTTAGTTGCAGAATATTACAAACAAGGGATTCTGTTGGATTTAGCTGAGCCTGTTGTTAAAACCAAATTAGTATGGCAAGTAGTGTATTTCAAAAAATATGAAGAACTCCGTGAAGAAACAGACTGTGAATTCACGTAACGTCCCTCTCACCTGTTCGTTAATAGGTTTTCCATAATCATCCAGAAAATCGCCTCCCCAGTATGTCCAGGACATGAGCCGTTCATCTGCTGTTCGTAGAATTGTGCTACACTCAACAGTATTTATTGATCGCTCATGTCCATCCGGTGCACACCGTCCAAACTCAGTTAGAAACATTCCACCACCTGTCTTCTTTCGGGAGGCGTGTGCAGTGTTGAAAGCTTTGGTGATGATAGTCTACAATCAGGGAGTAAACCCTTGTTTAGTGTCTACCCAAGTTAGTCCACTGCTTCAGAGTTGATCCTACAATATACACCTGATTAAAGGATCATCCACAAAAGAGCCTGTCACTTGACGTGACTCTTCAAAAGCTCAATGGCATGACAATCAAGTCTTAAATCTGCTCATTCATTCAATGACAAATGAAAAAAGTTACTGGATTTCTTGTGGAATTAGCGTTTTTGGATTCCAGCTAGTATGGCTATTTCGGGTTCTCTTCGCTACTGAAAGCAACTTACCTTATCGCATAATTCCTGCTGAAACCACGACATTTGACTTCTTGGATCGGAGAACCAAAGCAACCAGCAGTAGTAGTGGTACGACAACACACTTCTGTTCCTCTCTTTCGGATCTATGTGAAAACCTGGTACGCGACCCATTCCAGTCCCACCCACAATGGGTAGGAATAGGCTGTGCGTCATCGGTTCGTAGAAGACCAGTGTACTACTGTCAACCTGACGGATACGTTCAACCAAATAATCGTAGACGGGGAGAAGGTGGACTTTACCCATGTAACCTTGGAAACAAGAGGGAGGACAGAGTAACAAGCTGTCAATGCATGATAATTAGACTTTAAAAAACTGTAATGTGGGGTTGGAACCAGTTCTTTTTCTTTACTACGGGATGCGCAATGTCATGCTGGAATGGGTGCCATGTAAAATCGACCGTAGAGATTCTATTTTACCTGAGTAAGTGCTTCGTCACTACTTGTCACGATAAGCTAAATAAATTTATAGCTTATTGGTGATACGACACACATGAATGCCGCTTTTCGCAGTGATTTGAAGCCAGATGAACGACCACGCGACGGCGTTAAACAAAACACAATTAGTCTTTCTGGTCATAACAATACAAAGCACTTTGGAACCACAAGAACTGTCTTCACACGTTTCCTCTTCCTCAACATCTATTTCTTCACTGTCAACCTTCCTTGATCATCTACGTCACTGCATTGTTTCTATGCGTTGAAGTTGTCATCCATTCATTATGGGAACACGTTTTACGGCCTGGACACAGAGGCTACAATTAACACGCATACTACCGAAGGTCTCGAGTAGCTTTTGGTTGTTCCCCGAATGTTTCATCCGTTCCCAATCAAAGCTGCCGCATCTAGTTGCGGTCGTCGTCACATAACGAGGATTTTCGCCTGTCAACCATTGTAAAGCGATCTGGGGCACACGGTTTCGTTAACTGACAGTCCCCTATTGGTCGCGGTTGCTGCGCCCCTGAGTTAGCTGGTCTGTTACCTGATGAAGTGTTTGGGTATCTCAGTCTTCCGTCGGGTGACAGCTAATGAAAAAATAACGAGCTCCTTCAAACTGTAAGACATTCTCCTTATCTCTAAAAGAAAAACTAAATGTGAAAGAGCTAAGAAACTTCCTCGGTGTTGGCTATTAGACCAATATTTGACAAGACACTTTTTTCACTTTCATGCTTCCCATTGTCCTTTTATCCCAGTGAAATTATCAGGCAAATGTGGACTGTATGCATTCTACTGTATCGACTGTATTGCACATCAGTCAATTTCATGTCATTTTGCACTATCAAAAACCTCGTTATCTGATGTAAATCACCCCCTTCATCCTTATACTCCATAATCTGCCCTTAGTTCTTTCATTAGGTTGAACTCCACAACTATTTTCGTGCGGAATACCTTGTTTTGTAACAATATCCCTTGGAATCTGATTCCCTTGAATATCTCTGGCGGAAGTTTGCTCCTTACCTCACGTGTAGTTCCTACTAAGTATAAAACCCTTCCTATGATTTCTTTGTTATATCTTGTAAGTGGATAAGCAGTGAAAAAGTCGTTTGTATGTCTACGGCGCCAATTTAGTCAGTGTACCTTGCTGACACAATATGTATTATTTGTTTAATCATTATGTTCATGGTGGTGGTCCCGTGCCGTAGACTGTGTTGATTGTAGGCATGGAACAGTGGCTTCTGTGAAACTAGCTTACGTCCATTTTGGCAAATTAATTTGCGTTTTGCGCTGAAAGTATGTTACTTCCGTGTTTCTCCGCACTTGATTGAAGCGTTCAGATTTACCAACATCCGTACTGGAAATAGGAAAAAGACTGCCACTGGCAGACACAACGCTGCAAGAAGGAACGCAATTATCCGTGGATGAGATTGTTGAAAGCATAAAAGTATGCCTAAACCTCGGTCATTTTGTTTTTGACTCAGTTATCTACTCTCAAGAACAAGGTCTAGCGACGGAATTTCCAATATTCTCGTTTTTGGCCAATATGCATATGGAACTCTTTGAACAGAAAGCTTTAGATGGATTCGAGTGTCCACCGGGGGGTTTCTGTCGTTACGCAGATGACACTTTCTTTGTGGTAGTGAGTGATGAAGTTAGTGAAATCTTCCAGTATTTTAACAATTTAGACCCTTATATTAAGTTTAGCACAGAAATAGAATCCACGTCGGTTACACTAACTTCCTTAGTTTCAGCAATGTTTACTAGAGTAAGAGCACAGTGTACGGAAAAGGTCGACCGGACAGCAGCGGAACTTGAGATAAAAAAGTGACTTAAAGACAGCAGATACCCAGTGGATTTAATTAAACGGCACCTAAGAAGGGTATTGGTGCCAACACCAAGATCCAACAATGAGTGATTGGGAACAGCAGTCATTCCGTACAAAACAGTTACATCTGAAGTCATTATAAGGGTACCGAATACGGCTAACATTAGAGTAGCATTCCAGAAAAGAACGACAGTATGCTCAGTTTTGGTGCATTTGAAGGATCGCCTTCCGGTAAACAGGACTAGGAACTGTGTATAATAAATAAAATGTAACGACTGTACGAAGGTTTATATAGGTCAGACAGCCAGTCAGTGCAGTAAGTGCCAGTAAGTGACAGAATGTGTGGACGAACCCTAAGAGAAATAGTCTATTAAGATAACTTAGACCGGAAAAGCAAGTACGCAAAATCCTTATTCAACATGAAGACAAACCCTTAAACAAGCTATCGTAATTAGCGAAATAAACCCATTTGCAAACAAATCTTGTTTTTCGAGAGACTCACCTGAAACCCAGCTGAATCGCTCGTTTGTGATGTTTCCAGGCAACTGAATGTGCTACACCAGACCACCTCATGTTTCAGTCGCTACGATATTTGACATATCGTGATACATTTCTATTCGTAATGCATAAGGTTGTTGAAAATTATTTGACAGCCCACGACCGGCTTCGCTCTTCTTGGGGATCATCAGGTTTCCGTCAACCTTATGTTTTACTTGCAACCAAATAGCACGAAATTAGCGAACTACACTCAGTTGCAAACAAACCTATCGTAAGAGTTGGTCACCCCCACTAACGAACAAACAGGAAGTTCAGAACGATATCCACCACTGATCAAGTCGGCTGGTGATACGAACTCTCAAGGACTGGTTCCCTGACTGCCTGAAAACCCAGTCAACTTGGTAACTTCCTCACTTGACCTGACGGTGCTTTTGTTTTAAAAGCGAAATTTTGCCCAGCAATAAATCTTTTGATTGTTTATCAAACCCCTCTGAAACGAGATTGCTTATTTTGTTTCAGGGAAAGACTCAAGCGATTCTCAAATGAATCTCTCACTCGTGATGTTTTTCAACTAAACTTCTTGCATATAGCCACCTTTTGTCCATGTGGGATGATATTCGAGAAGGCACATTACACTGTCAAGACGAAACACATCATTTGTAAGGCTGCTGAAGGGCATGATAGACGAGAGATTCAGATGCATTCAGTTGTCTCCCGCTGAGACTAAATTAGTGTATGAATGAGAGTATTTTGCGAATTCTGTCCTATTTGGGTTCAAGAAGAACATAATTTCGACAGAAACTCGGTTACCACGCCTACCTGGTCAGTCCGGAGAGGAAGGGTGTAACCGGTCTTGTGCTGTCGAAGAGTTTTCAGTAATCTCATGAGTAGTGCCTCGCAAGCGTGCCTCTGAGCTTTTTGTCCAGCTAGTTTTGGTCTCAGATCGCCCCCCCCCCCCCCGCATCTCATACAATTCAGGCCTCTTACTCTAGGCCGTCGGTAGCTGAACTGAGGAACGCCATCTCATGTCACTCACTCCTTCCTTTTCCACAGTTTTCATTCCACACCCTGTTATCAACCTTCAGATTTTCCACCATGTGCACGTATTATTGATTCCACCCACTAGGGTCGCATCCCTTCACAATAACTTGTCCAGCTGCTTCCTCATTCTGTTTTGCTCTATTCAACAAATATTTTCTAACCACCGCCATTAGGTCGCTGCAAACTCGCCGAAGAACTTCTGCATTTCGCATTTTCTCATTTCAGGCGGAATTTTACCGTCGGATATTTTATATGAAATCTGTTCAAGTATCGGGTAATAGACTATGGGTGTGATCAGTACTTCCTTGTCATGTAGTTAGAGACACAAGCATTGCGTTGTTTGATCTACAGCTATTATTCTGACTTTTCATTCTCCTTTCCCAAGCTTGCAAGAAACTGTATTAACCTTAGTGAATTGAGTTCTCAGTTCACTATCGATTCAATAAGCAATGTGCTACCAGGGTTGCAGTAATCAGCACAATCTGCTGTCGTTGTAATTCTTGGAGGGAGTTATAGATTTTGCATAACTTAGGCCAACCCATGGCCTTCAAGCAGATTCGCGTGCGTAACAATGGCACAGTACTCAATAAATTCTCAGTTGGTCGTTGCGGTTTGTCGTGTTCCCATGTGATTATTACGAACTGCCCCGCCAACAAGATGACACTATCCTTATTTTGGTAAAGCATAGTCATTGTTTCAAACGTCTTGTATTGAAGAGACTTGCATCAAACAAGCATCGCATTTCGTAAACCAGCATGCGAAGTATGTCTAAGAGTTCATACAGTCCCGCTTCATGACTGCGATAGTTTCAAAACCACCGGGTTTCAGTCCACAGGTTTGTCACCATAACAATATTCCACCATGTGGACATTTACTGGAGCTCACAAACTCCGGCTGATATCCATACTCGACAAGAACTCATCCTAGTACTCCGCAGCTAGCAAAGTCGGATGCCCACGTAAGGCATTAGAAGAGAGACTTCAGAAAATGGACTCATTCGTGTGAACCTCACTAGAGCTACAGTGTAGCACAAACCAGATCAATTGGGTTGTAACCAACAAGAAAGCTACGTGATCATATCGCAATGGCTTTAGTTACTTCGGCATCTGAGAGACTGACGAGGATTAATTTCATTACTTTGCCGGTACGCCTTAGTAGGTTGTACTTATTCATGTCTTTGAAATACAGCTGCATTCTTGAACAGTCCTGCTGCAACCATGTTACCTAAGCTACATTTTAATTCAGCGTTCAGATGTTCGCTTTAGTATCTAGTGGTTGGTTTAAAAAATGCACAATGACTGCTCCATTCCTTCTCTCAGACAGTCTTTCCAGCGTACATCTATTTAAGAGTTCGTTTGGGTGCTTATGCTATTTTTCGTTGTTCCTGTAGCCGATATCTTCTCGTCCTCTGCATCAGCACTTTACAGCCTTTAACCTGGTTTGACGTATG